ATCTGAAGGACCACCACTGTGGTCCATCACTGCCTCCAGGGCTCCCCAGGGAAGCTCAAGTTCAAAACCCACCGGCCTTTTGCCTGGGGTCACGACAGCCATCACGATGGCCCCTGAACCCTGTGGCTTCCATCCTGGACTTCCTCTTAAGACCCAGGAATAAATACTTTTCCAATACAGGCTTGCTAGCCATTGGTTTCACGGATGTTGCTTCAGAACCAACAACCTTTAACGACGCACCCCTGCGGCCTCCGCGTTGCCTCCCTCAAGCCACAAAACACTAACCAAGTGAAGCAGGCCGCGAGGGGTGCGTCACTGCAGGTGTCTCCATCCAGGGAAAGCATGACGGAGGACGAGAAGGGCTACGCGGCTGCCTTTCCCCGGAGGCAGAGCTGCACGTCGAGACATGCAAAGCCTTCCATGGGGAAAGCGGCTTGCCTTTCGCCAGAAGACCGGGGAACAAAGCCAACGTACACCAACTCCATGGCGACGATGGGAAGGAATACAGACGGTGAGCGGTGTCATGCCCTGCTTGGTGGCTTGGATCTGACAATCGAGCGCAGAAGAAAAACAGGTTTCGGACAACACCTCCTGTAGAGGCAGCGCTGGGGATTTCAAGCAACACAGACGCGTGAGCTCCCTGCTCCCTTCCTAGGCAAAGTGACGTTTTGTCTCCAGCCCTGAAGCTGCTAATTCAGCAGTAGGGCTGTGCAGGGCCGGCCAGCCCCCCTTTTCGGCGCATCGCAGAGGGTTCGGTGCCAGGCAGCTCCCCAAATCCCCAACAGCACCGAGTCCCCTGTGAACAGCAGAGCTGGACAAGCAGCAGCCGAAGCGCCTGCCAATTTTGTTAAGGTTAGCTGAAGCGTTCGATGGAACTGAGCCCCTTGTGCAGGCCGGCTTTCACAGCGTTGCCTTTTCAATTGGCCCACGTCACTCAAAAGAACACGATGGGATGTTTATTGCTGTCCTTAAAAACATCTCAAGGACCGTTTGCCGCGTCGGCCTCCAGGGTCAGGAGGCTGGATAACCGGAGCCCTGTTCAAAATCTGATCCTGCCACGCACTGCGCCCCACTAAGAAGGATGGCAGAACTGCTCACCCTCTCTTGACCTGCGCGCTTAGAAATAACTGATGCCGGCTGAAACACCCCCTTAAGCGCCCTGTATTCATGGGCTCCTAGACTACAGGTGGGCACAGTCGGGCTCACAGGCTCCATGTGGCACTTATGAAGCCCCAGATGGGATTCCTGGACTTCGGAGAGAACCCCAATGGCAGACACACGAGAGGGGTGGGGTGGGGGTTGGTTTTCTGCTCCTGGCAGCTCCAGAGCTTTTACTCCCTTCATGGAGGTCGGAGAGGGTCTCACTGCCTGCTCTTGCAGAAACGGAGTTCCCAGGACTAGCAAACTGGTGGTAGAACTGGACTCAGGGCAAACCGTGCCGGTTTTAACAAGGCAAGGAGTGTGCAAGAAGAGAAGGAGCTGCCTGCTGAGTACGTACAGGCACAGGAGGAACTGGCTTCTGGCCGACGTGGTACTCTTTGTCAAAAGAGCTGTGGAGTCTCCCCTGCCTGCCGGCCCCACGGCCATCCTAGTCGCTTCCCACCTCCCTTCAGGATCGGCCACGCTCAGCCTGAAGTGTGAATGTGCAGAGCTCCCTGGCGTAACGGCGGCTCGGCACAACGGCAGAGCTGTCATTTCTGCTTAATCCTGTCTCGAGCTAGCCTGCGTGAACGGCAGAGCGGCAGGAAGCCTCGGCCAACGTTTTCTTCCATAAGCTAGGGAAAGCAACGCCTACAAAGGATGGTGGGTAAATTCTAAATTCTGGATTCGCCAGGCAAGACGGCAGATTTCTAAGTGCGAGGCAGGAAAAAGGCTAAAGCAAAGGCTACCAAGTGAAGGAGTTATGTGCTCTCAAGTTGGAGCTAACTTACAGCGGCAGCCCTAGTAAGGGCTTTCAAAGTAAGTGAGACATTTTTAGAAGTGGTTTTCCCACTCCTAATGGCTAACTAAGGATTCAAACTCTGGTCTCCAGAGTCCTAGTCCACCAATTCTATTCACTACAGTACGCTGGCTACCCAAGTTAGAAGGTCCTTAATATTCTCTGACAACTTGATGGTCTCCCAACAGGCTTGTTACTGACCACAAACTGCACAAAAAGCAAACACTAATGATACCGTCTCAATTAAAGCCTCTTGGTCTCTACCAAGCTCCAGTGTCTGTCTCATCGTGTAAACAGACAATAAAACTCCAATTACGGATGGAAATGGAACATGGACATTCCCCACTCTGAAATCGAGAAGCTGAACTTTTTCGGAAGCCAGTCAACTGCCTCTGCAAACCAACCAGTCAAAGACAGGCTGCAAACTAGTCTCCTTGCCAAGACGGCAAGCTAAAATCCACCCCGGGCTGTCCTTTCCATCACCAGCAACAGAAAATTCACCTTCAAGATAAGCCAGTTTGGTTTATGTCCCCATAAATCAGTAAGGCTTTAAGTCAGGGTTGTTGCTGAGCCCCTCCTCTGACCAGCACAAAGGCAACCTTCTTAAGAGACAGAGCAAGCTTCTTCAAAAAAAGGAAAAAGACAGAACTGCCAGCCACATGGGTTGCCTCTACCCGGCGGCCAAAGCAGCTGGCCGAGAGAGGCAGGCAAGTAGCCATTAACTGGGGTCTCCTTCACCGAGCCAAAGGGCGGTGCCAGACAGAGGAGGGCTTTGCTTCTGACCCAGTGGGCCCTGGGCCCAGCAACTGGGGCTGCTGGGTGAGGAGGCTCGGCTCGCGGAATTCTGCGCTGGCTGTAGAAGGAGGAGGACCTCCCCACCATGGGGCCGGGGAACGGCAATCGACAGCAGAAGGGCAGAGCATTTGGTCCTTCCCTCCACACCTTGCCCGGGAGGACATTTGGTCCACCCACCGGCGTGGATGGATCTTCTGCTGCAGCCCGTCCAGAGTTTTCTTTCAGTTCTGTTCAGGACTGCTTTGAGTTGCCAAACGACACCATTCCTTGTTTATAAGCTGCAGTGCTGTTAATACGGCACCCCACTGGGGTTTTTTTCTCAGTAAGATTTTACACTGAGAAAGACAGAAAAGTTTGGCACAGCAATGTAAGAAGTGTACGAAGGCTGACTAGATAGCAAAGAAGTACTTTGACCAGTCAGCCAATCTATTAAAACAAACACAGATAGAGATTGGATTTTATTCTCTCTCTCTCTCTCTCTCTGTGAGAGAGAGACTAGCAGGATCACATGCATGTGTTCCACAGTGGCAGCCAAGCATGGATCAAGGTCACAGTGGCCTTCTGACCATTTTTTCAGTCTCTCACTTATTTCACGGTCTCTCCCATTAACCTAACAAAGGCAGAATTGTTGACTATTCAACGTCAATATAAGATGAATAAGGGAAAATCCAGTCACAAGAGCAATAAAAACGAACCTCATTCTCAGACAAGAACATCTGTGAAGACAGATGCGGGGGGAAATGGGAAACCCTGCCCAAATACCACCACATGTGGCTGCTCTTCCATGAGCAAACCATGAAAGGAGCGCCGACAGCCTACCTGCCATTAAAAAAAACAAAGATGAGGGGCTGACTTTTGACTTTGCTCGGGTTCTAAGATGGGTTAGGACACTCGCTCTTATGAAACAGGACATATAAACACCTTACAGAAAGCACAGTCTGCGCCCCTAACTAAAGGCGTGGCACAATCAGTCTTAGTTCTGCTCAAGCCACTGAATTCTACATTAGTTGATGTTTTCAGGTGATCTCCACAGGAAGCTTCGAGTCAGCAGAGCCTGGGAAGAACTGTGTCCCAAGTATGTTTTTCCAGGAAGGAGCCGTAGCTGGTGAGAGCACACACATACACACAAACACACACACACCAGCCTCTCCCACAAGACAAGAATGTGGGGACCCACCCCGGGAAGCTGAAGGATGGGACATTCCAGGACAAACCCAGGCACTCCTCTGCACCGCACACAAGAGGGTATAAAATTCACTTTCCTTGAGTGGAGTGACGGCCAGCAGCATCGATTGCTTTCAAAGAGAACTGGATGCAGGATGAGGCCAGAAGATGGCTACTAGTTGGAAGGTTACATATCACCCATTGACTGGGAGCAGGAGGGCACCAGCACGCCTCCAGTCCTGCTTTCAAATTTCCCCCTGGCATCTGGCTGGGCTCTAAGGAGACCAACTACTGAACCAGAACAGCCATGGGTTTCACAAGGCTCCCCCGTATATGGATTTTGAGCTGCAGAGGCTGCTATTGACCGAAACATCCCTCTGCATGGCCCAGGTACTCCTTCCGGGTGGTGAGCGGTCTCTCCCAGAATAAGCCAACTCCCTGGTGGGCAACAGGAGAACCTGCGACGGACACGCCTCCCTTTCTGCTGTAAGCGCTTCAACGGGCAACTTGACACGTGGGGTCCCAAGAAGGCCAAGCTTACCTTTGGGGTGTCGATCCTCTCTTCCTCCATGAAAGCCGATTCTGCCTGGCAGGCAGGAGGAGGAAAGGAGAAGGTTTCGGCTGCGGGAGTCTGTGGCAGGCCAGGAGACTGCAGGAGCCTGACGTTTTGGGGACGCAGGTTGACAGGAGCCACCACAGCCTGGGCCTACGAGGTGTTAAGAGAGAAATTGTTAAGGAAGGGCAGTTTGAAGGTACACAAGGAACACACAAACCTGGACCAGACGACGGAAGACTCGAGACAGAGATGGGCAGAAAAAGAACCAACCAGCCGAGAAAGGGGAAGGTTGCCAACTTATGAGACACCACCCGTAACACGTCTAATTTGAAGGCAGGAACTGTCAACAGGGCTGCTTCTCAATTAAAAGGAGATCAAGGGTATTCTTCACATTCGCCCCATCAACATGCAAGTGAAATCTGGTTTTTAAGCTCCGAACGTCCACACGTCTGAAGCTGCAAAGGAACACTGCAGGGTAATCCAACATCTTCTGCTTCCAGCGGGAAAGCTACTGCCCAGCCTGTTTCCGCCCTGGGAAGAAGCAGAAGGAAAGCAGAAAAGGCTGGACGACTCAGAAGACACTTCACTGCCCCCTATCCCTCTGCATGGCAGCCATGAACTTGGAGAAATTACCTTTTTGCACTACAATTGCCAAATCCAGACACACTCACGCGCACGCACCCTACCCCCCCCACACACTCTAGTTGGCCATGGTTTGGAAAATGTATTCTTTTAGGCTACAACTCCCAGACTCCTCCAGCCACGTTAGGGGACTCTTGGAACTGTAATCCAGCAGAATAACTTTTCCAGGTTCCGCACAGAAGAAAGAAGCAGGAAGATGGGCGTCTGCCTACATGGGGCGCCCCTTCTATCCTAATGTTCTCAGCAGCGTCTTCTGTCCATCCGGAGCTCATGACGTTTCTGTCTCCTAGTTTCATGTGGGCCCCAGGCCCTTGGGGGGGCACCACGGAGGGCACAGAGAGCCAGAGCTTCTTCCCAAGGCCCAGACCTTGACTCTGCCTCCGCAATGACTTCAAGAGAGTGTTGGCTAAGGTTGCCTACGCCGGCGTCGTGCTGATTAAAGGACAAGTCAGAGGCTGCAAGACGCCTGCCAGCCGGAGGACGGGAACATCAACAACATCCACCACCAGCAGACGCTGCCGTCTGAAGTCTGCAAGCGGAGGCTGCTCCCTCGTTTTCTCCAGCCTCGCACACTTGGTTACTATACATTTAAAAACTGACACACACAAAGGAGAGCGTGGGATCCGAAAGGAGGGCTCAGGTTCTGTGTGGAGCTCCCACCCACGGATCCGACAAGGGCCTCTAAGAAAAGGGGAAAAAAAGAAAAGAGAGGAGCTCTGGGGGGGGGGGCGAAGGGATCTGGTGATACCAGGGATCCCATTGGGGCTCCTGATCGGAGGCAAAGCTGGCAGGAAGCGGGTGAGAAACATCCTCTGGGGCGATGCCGTCAGCAAGTTCCGCCAACGGGCTCGGCAGCAATTCTGCAGCCAGACGGCCCTCGCCGGACCACCGGCTGGGCTACAGGTGTATTCGCGCAGGCCAGTCCTGGCACTCTGCCTTCAGGTCCTGACACCGACTGGGTGAGAACTGCGCGCCAGCAAAATCGCGGCATCTGCCTAAACCACAGACTGACCCAATTGGTGAGGAAAGCCACCAGCTTCTCAGGGAGTATTTATGCCGCACTCCGAAGGGGTCAAACAGTTTCACAAACATCGCAGTAATCCCTACAATGACCCCGTAAGGAAGGTCAGTATTATCCCGCTGGCCGCGTAGATCAGGGGTTGGGTATGGGAAACTGCCCCAGAAAGAGGGTGGCCTGCTTAAAGCTTCCTGGAGAATGGAAGGTAGAAGCAGGGTGGATCTGGGGATCTTCCAGGTCAGATTCTCGGCCCTGTAGCGGATCAGAAATGATCAGGCAAAGGGATCCAGGAAAGCAACGGGCCAGCAGCCGAGGGTCCACCTTACTGATTAAAACGGATGGACTTGCAGATTTGAAATGGTTTTTTACAATTGCTTTTGTGCAAAGAGCCGGCCAGGTTGATGTTTCTAAGCACATGGATCTCCAAAACACAGGGAAAGCGTGTTTCAGACGAGACTCTCTAGGCAGGGTCGAAAGGCGCCCGGTGGGGCAGGGGCTCCAGCCCGGCGGCCCAAACCTTGCCGATCCAGGATCCCAGATTCTATGACAGGCCTGAGAAAACCTGCAGCCCTCGGGGTGCCGCTGCACCTTGTCAGGGTTGGAGGCGGCTCCCTCTCTTCCTCTCCCTGACTAAACCGGGGCGTTACCTTGGCGACGGTCTGTTCGGCAATGGTGCTCGGCCGTCGCTGGCGGGAATCTAGCCGTTGCTCCACAGGGAAGCTGCTGCGATGGGACTTGAGCCGCTCCACCAGCAAGTAGTAGATGGCCGCGAAATGGTTGTAGCTCTTGTTCTGCAGGGACTGGAAAGAGAACGAGGATCCCCGGGTAAGAGCCAGGAGTGGCCGTTCTCGCTCACCATCCCCTGGAGCCACACGGAAATTACAAACCGCAAGGTGCCAACCGAGCAGGGCAGAGTTCCACCCGAGGTCTGCTCGGGAGGATGTGCATTGCCTGGGGACCCATAGGGGTGTGCAATGCTGGGCTGCTCAAGTTCTAACTGAGGTGTATATTTGGGGCTGGGAGAAAGTCTTCCTGGGGGTCAGATCAGCTGGCGAACGGCCTCCCACGCCACTCTGCTGCTGAGCTACCTTTGTGGGAATCGCATCCAGCAACCTTGTGCAGTGCCAGCTGGGAGGGTGCTGAGCCTGGGTGCCTCGTGAACCCTTCCACTTTGAGAATTTGCTCCCCAGTCCTAAAGGGGGCAAACAGGACCGGGGGGCCTGGTGCGGCTCCATGCCTAGAAGGGCACCTTTACCGTGGTGTCTGTTATAGGGATCCGCTTATCAGCAACTCACGCCTGCTGCTCCGTTTCACCTCTGAGCCAGTTTCTTGGCCCTTAGGGAACAAGCCCAACCCCACATCTGCCAGCTGTGCCAAATTCTGAGCCACAAAGGGAAGAAGGGGAGCCGGGGGGTGAGGTGGGTGGGTGGAGAGAGGGGGTCAAAGGTTTACCCCTGCTCCTCCTGGACCACTTTCTGGCAGGAAGCATTCATACTGCAGACTCCTCAATGGCTAAAAATATCAGCCATTCCAAAGGAAGCAATCACACAGACTCCCCGGGGATCATGTGGAGCACAGCAGCAGTTATTTCTGCCAAGAGACATGATTCGGAACCCTTGCCCAGACACCAAAATACAGAGGAAACGGCTTGCCACCCTAAAGATTCTCTGCCCCTTTCATATCTCACATTGCAAGGAAAAGAGGGCCTTGTTCCCCACATGAGTCTCTTTCTTCTGGTCATCCTCCATACTTCCCAATAATTGAAAACAAATCCCATAAATGTTTTCCCCACTTTACGATACCCTTGACCTTTGCGTCTGCGTACGTATCAGCTTGTAAAAGATCTATTTTTATTTTGTTTTTAACAACAGAGACTTAAAGCATTTTAAAGTACTTTTGGAGTGTCTACTTTTTAAAAAAAGGAAAATAATGAAGCGCATGGGTGAAAAAAAAAAGCAAGGTTCTACAAACTGAGCAGAACGGCCACTTTTGTTTACGACAGATCTGTGTCCAGAGTCAATACTGACATGGCAGAGTGGTCAAGAAATCCCCAGCCCTCACAGGCACGGACTGTGTGCTCTGCTGCTGTTGTAAAGTTCTCTACTGTGGACAGGAGTCCTTGTGGTCAAGGGAACCCCTGGTGACTTTAGCTATTGGGGGGGGGGGATAACCTGCCGAGTTCAAGATCCAGGAGTAACACTGCCCGAAATGATTTTGTAAAAGATAAAAGCCGTTTCGAGGGCAGGTTGGTCATGCACATTTTTGTCCCATGACGTAACTTGTTTTCATGTCAAGCATGCGGCAGCAACTGAAGAACCCGTAGGAAAGATCCCGCATCTTTCTGCAAGCAGGGGAAGGAGAAGTTGCAAACGCTCTCCCCCCTGCCAGCAGAGACTGCTTTTACCTCGATGGTTTTTTGCTGGTCGATTCCCAAGCTGTGCATCAGCCGCAGAACTTGCTCGTTGAACTCTCCAAGGGAAGGCTCGTTCTCCTGTCCCTGGGGATAGAGGATGGGCCTCTGGACTGGCACCTCCACTTGCATCCATTTGTGTTCTTTAATCTGAGCAATGGTGAGCCTCTTTGACGGGTCCAGGACCAGCATCCTCCGGATAAGGTGCTCGCACTCTGCAGGGGGAAGAGGAGAGGTGCCGTTACGTTCAGCACATACAGGGCCACGTTGTTCAGAGGCCTTTCCTAGCTGCGTCGTTATTAGTCTAGCCTCTTTGGATATGAGCTATTAGTGACAGGAAACGGCTTCGTTTAGATGCCAAATCAGTTCCTTCTAAAAATAAAAATAATCTTGATTTGTAGAAAGGGCAAAATCCATTTCTCCCACAGGTAACCAATTACAGGGAACAGGGCAATTATTTCTAACTGCAGGCAGAGTGGAAGGAATAATATTAATTCCTCACACCCATGGGGCCAACCGGTGTGCACAAAAACATGACACCTACCGTAACCAATAAGCCTCAGAAATAAAGCAGAAAACCTCTGCTGCTTAGAGCTGCTGAAACATGACCTTGGCCCCAAAGACATCTGTGGCAGAGAATGCTGTCTTATCCTGCAATCCAAGCTTCATGGCTAGGGCTAGGGCTATTGCCTCAACACGTTCACACATTAACAGTATATCATAATTGAATGTTATCTGCCTCGGAAGGGATGGTTGAGCTTTCACTCATCCGCCTGGCCCAGCAGAGGAATGAATCAGAATTTAGCTTCCATATTGGCAGATCCCTGTCTTGGCATGATGTAGGAATCAAGAACAGACCTTTTCAAAAACTCTAGGCAATTCCTAAACAAACCAACTTTAAAACCCAGATTGATTTTTGTGGTTTGTTTAGCAAATTAGTTTACCTACAAGACAATGCCCAGAATCTGCTAAACCTGGTAATACTCCATTGCTTGCGTCCGTGGAAAACCTGTCGTATTAAAGACGACTTCAGGTGACCGGAAGCCTCGTGGCGGCTACCACTCTGCCACAAGATTTGCCCAAATGCTGAAGCCAATATCAGGTTTGTTGCCTAGGTGAAAATCAGGATGGTGCCACCTCCCATCTTATGTACAAAAAAAATTAAAATAAAACTAAAACTAAACGGACTGGCAGCAGTATCTTTTTTCAATATGGATTGGGGGGGGGAGAGAGTGTCCTCAACAAAACTGAAGACCATTGGCTAGCTTACGAGGGTGCAGGACAGGCGACTGAGCGCAGCGCTCTCTCTTCAAATCCCTTGGGGGCACCTCTTGACAACAGTTGCCTGAGACCATGGCTTCCCTCTGCCTCATGTCATGGCCGGCCTTGACCTGGGCCATGCTGGGCTTAACTGCCTGCTTAGAAAGGATGCAAGTCTGCCTGCCGAGAATCCTGCTTGTCTGCATCTGGACTTTTTCAGACTCCCGAGATATAAAGGTAAGACGATGTCCATTACCTCTACATCCAAAACTGAACAACGGCGATGTCATGGAAAGATCCAGTTTAGCTGGCTGGAGTGGAAGTCAGAGCTTCCATGTGGTCTCACAGCACATTTATCACGTGGCAAAGCGAAGCCTGAACTCACACACACTGTTTTTGTATATCTGCATCTCAAAGAGCAGAGAAGGCAAGACTGGATGGCAGGCGTGACGACATTAAGAGCTTGGAGGACAAGGATTCTGGCGGCAGGCAGAGCTTATTATGTTCTAAAAGAAGACACGAAGCCAGCCCCCACCGCCTTCAGTGAGTCAAACACCGAAGGGGAAACACAAGGGCGGGAAAGAAATGAGGGCAAAAGGAAGCACAGCAAGGCTGTGGACACACTGCTTTGGGGCCAGGAGTCCATGTTTACACCCCCTACAAAAAAGGAGCATACTAGGAGATGCTGCATTTGACAAGTGGTGTCTCCTCCCACAACACGGACAACTGAAACCAAAGGCAGAGCTAGGCAATCCCTCTATTGGCCACCAACATATTTTGAAAAAAGAAAAAGAAACAAAAAGAGCGAGCGTCAGGAGTCTTCCTTAGGCTGGTGGTTTTAAAAGTTGAGAAGGGAGGAAAGAAGTGAAAAAGTTGAGAATTCACCCTTGCCAGAGATGAAAGACCCCATGACTTCTTGCGAGGCGCACATGGATGGCTCGGCTCAGCTGCCAGAGGGCAACTAGAAGGCTGCTCCTCTTAGGGCTGAAATCATAGAAGAACATCATCCCTGGCCATCATCCCAACTCAACACAAGTTGAGCTCATGTGCTCTGAAACTCGTGCACTCCCATCCATGCAGTTGCATGTGCTGATACAGCTTGGGGCAATAACAGGCTGCTCACACAGACCATTTTGATGGGGACTCACAGCCTTATAGCACCAACGTCAATTTTTGGGGCTGGCCCTTGGTGACGTCGCTCTCTGTCCAGTTAGAAATAGTTGGCTATTCTGGCTTGAATTTCTGGTCTTTGGTACCAAGAGGGAAGAAATGAAATTATCTTCAGACCTTTTACCTCCCCGTCCCCTTCCCAGAAACTCGTGACAATGGCTGTGGGGGATCCATACCCAAACAACTCTACGACACTGATGCAGGTAGGTCTTACCTTCTGACATGAAATAAGGGATCCGGAATCTTCCTTCCAGAACCCGCTGCCTCAGGATGGGGAGGGTGGGTCCGTCAAAAGGCAGTGCTCCACAAACTAAGACATAAAGAACTACACCCATGCTCTGGAAAACATAAGAAGGGTTCTAGGTTTGCCTTTGAACACAGCCAGTTAAAAATGGAAAAAGGGAGAATAGCTGCTCCAAAAGGTACTGGTCATAAAACCATGCAAAATATTCCCAAAGTGCCGTCAACCTCTCTTGTGTCTGAATCGGCATTTAAGGCATGGGTGTTGGCCCATCTTTGGGTCTGAATGCCAAGTCTGTCTTTAGCACCAAGAGTCTGAGTCCCTATTAAAAGCAAGCTTTCTTGCCCCCCACAATAAAAAAAGGGAGGGGTAGGCAAGCTCTGGATTATGACTTGAGTCTGAGTCATTGGGGGAGAAATGCTGAGTCTTAAGTCGAGTCACCGGCGTGACTTCGGTCTGAGTTGATATCAAGTCCCACGACTGGAGCCCCCGTCCCTGATTCAAGGTCTACCTCAAACTAAGCTCCCCTCCCCTGCAAGACCCATGATCCACAGCCAAGAGCGCCACCTTCAGTCCTTAGAAGGCAACACCAGATTTTGCACTGAATCTATTACATTTTTTTAGAACTTTGCAGAAAGGCAGCCGGGATATCAGAAGAATGATTCACCCCTTGCTTATCTTGGCTACCAAGGTTGCACTGTGGGTGCAGAGACTCAAATCTGACCCTGGCTGGGCTGGAGGTGGGGGAGTCGTGAGCTTCAAGCACGTTTGGACAGGGGTTTCATCAGGAGGCAGGTTATTTTTTTGTTAGTGATTAGACAAGGGAAGGAAGGAATCCCAATGCGATGCCACAATGGTTAGCTTGCTACCGCTTCACCAGCTAGGATAAGGCTTTGCCAGGCTTGTGGTCCAACGGGCTCTCTGCGGGGTCCATTTCGCCAGCGGGATCCAGAAGCTACTGTAGTACAAATATCCTACTGAAGACTGTAGATACAGTACATCAAAACTGAATGAACAGTCCTACAAGAATCCTTGCAACGGCATAACTGTCAAGATTTGAGATTGATAGAGGAGTGTGGAGTCTCAAAGCTGGCTTCACTCAAGTAAGCCACCTTCAATACATTAAGTATTCTTAATCCATGCCTTAAGTCCACCCCAAATTCCTCTTGACTGCTCCCTGGTCAGAAGGCACAAATCGGATCTTCCCTAGCTCCCAACTTCCCTAGCTCCCAACAACAACAAAATATCTCTGAAAGTCAGGGCAAGAGTGCCCGACCCTGCTTTCATGCAAAGCCTGTTAAAAGTTATTATGCAAGATGGGAGGGACTGAGAGGGAGAAGAGCAAACTCAAAGCATCAGCAGCAGGTCAACTGCCAAGCCTTCTTTTGAAAGAGTACACATTCTCTGGGCGCGTGAAGGGAAAGTTTTAAAATCTGCCCAGCAACTTCGTATCACGCAGAGATGGCGATGGCACAATGACAAAAGCACTGAGACACATGATACAGTTATATCTATAGTTGTAGAAGGGCTAGCTGTGCTAGTCCATGCAAACATCATAGGTGAAAACAAAAGAAAAAGAAAAAAAATGTGGTAGCGCCTTTATCTATCTTTCTATCTTTCTATCTTTCTATCTATCTATCTATCTATCTATCTATCTATCTATCTATCTATCTATCTATCTGTCTGTCTGTCTGTCTGTCTGTCTGTCTGTCTCTCTCTCTCTCTCTCTCTCTCTGTGTATATATATATGCACACACACACACATATATATACACACTGTATATATATATATATATATACTGACGTATGTAGAACATATATATGTGTGTGTTCTACATGTTAGTTTATATACATACATACATATACATAGATACAAAACCTCACCATTGTGTATCACGTACACAATGTGTGTATCATGTATGTAGAACATTATATATATATATAAATAAAAAATAAAAGTTATTATGCAAGATGGGAGGGACTGAGAGGGAGAAGAGCAAACTCAAAGCATCACATATGTAGAACATATATATGTTCTACATATGTGATGTTTCATACATTTACCACCTGCTTTCCGTGTTTAAATGGTGAGGTTTTGTTCTCTTCTGAAAGTTTGGCCAGAACATCAGCTCTCTGAACATTTTTTTCAGCCCATTGTACATTCGGGTGGGTGGGAATGGGCAGAGATGGAAATCTTTCCATGAGAGTAGCAACACTGGCCAAGCTTTTACTTATTTTTTAAAAAAGAGTTTTTAGATTGTACTGTGATTCCCTACCCCTCACCCCAGTTTCCAGAGACAATTTTGTCAGCAACCTGGCAAAGCCAAGAGCTTCCACAAATATTTCTCCAAACTTCAGTTGTTCCTGCCCATCCTTGTGGATGCTATAAATCCGAGGGTGCGGGCAGGGTGTGTTCTGAGTTCATCTGGAAGTTAACCCGGGCAGCAGGAGCAACAAGGCAGGGCCTGTTCCTTTCCTGAATAGCAAATCGTGTTGGGATTTGTGTTTATTGGTTAAACAGCGTGGATGGATTCACGTGGCCGCATCCAGCTCTCAGGCCTGGGTCCCGCCTTGCTTTCGGGCAGCATGTGAAGAGTGGCCATTTCTGACGTGGTGAATTTCACCTCTGGGAGTGGAGCCCCCCACCCACTCGCAACGGGACCATCGCCGCTCAATGTATATTTGAAGCAGGCAGGCAGGAGCAAGCTTTGGGGTGCTTATCTGCTTACCCTGCCTGTTTGAGCTGGGACTGTAAACCAGTGACAGAAAATGCTGAGAAAGGCACCAGGGAGACATTCAGGCTTACGAGCCTCAGCTTCCAAAACTCTCGGTGCTACAAAAGGCGGCGGGGGGGGCGGATCATGCTGTGGGGAGGCATGGCTAATACCAGGAGACACAAAGACCCAATTCCAAGCAAGGAGACTGAGAAATAAAGAGCAGCACGCTTGCCAAGGCATTCAACGGCACCAGGAACCTAGCTCGGCACATTCCCCCTCCTGCATGCACTTTGTGAGAGCTTCTCGCTACCCGGCACGTCCTTTTCCATTAGAGTCCCATGAAAGCAAACACACGCAAGCAAGCACAGAGAGGTTCAGCCTTCAGCAAAGCCGTTCAAGGCAAACAGGCTGTTCCCTCCGCCGAAAAAGAGGGCAGATCGCAGCCGTGTGCAAATGACTCAGACGGTCCCTCCGGCGTTAAGACAGAAATTTGGTTTGCACTCCCAAAGAAGGAGGCAGTAATGTGTCAAAACATGGTGCGGACATTCAAGCCCAGGTTAACACAGGCTGCAAGAAGGAGGGGGGTGTCAGGTCCCTCTCTGCAAGGGCTAAATTATTTCTTTTTCACAATGGACGTCAGTTTCCAAGGGAAGTCTCAAAGCCTCTGGGTCTTTGTGATAACACGTGCTCTCTGCTGATTAAACAGCTATAGATCTAGGGGCTTCACAAGAGAAAGGAAATATATCTAAAACAGAGCAGTCGCTTGAAAAATCCCCTTTACTTAATATAATGGAGATACCCAAATATCCAGCTGCGGGCCCTCATACTGCTGGCCTTCAAAGACCTCCGGAGCTGCATAAGGGGGGCTTCCGCACCAGGTTGTCAAAGGCTCCCCGCTTTTGTAGAAGTTTCCAAACCCAAAATCTGTGAAAGGAAAAAAGAAAAGGGTGTGTGTGTGTTATGACAGAACCACCACACTGGAATAGCAGGGAAGGACACAGAGGAATAGAGGGTTTTAATAAATAGAGTCCCAAAGATACAACTGTAATTCTTTATTACCTTGTTGTTTTACACATACCTTAGCAGCAGAATTTATACTTAGCACTTTTGAAACAGTTTTCAACTACTAATGGACTGGATTGTGTTTATCCTCAGTGATACTATTAACATTCTTTAAAATGCATTGTAAACAATAAATGTAACAACATTTGTGTACCTGTATAAATATCCTTCTCAGAAATAGTGAGAATGTTTTGTTTCTCTCCTGGCGGGACCAAAGTTCATTGACAGAGTGATCAGTGGGAAATAAAGATACAAAATGTTGTGAACCATTGTATTAAGGCCAAATTTCCCCTGATTTCTTAGCATTTCCAGGGCCTTGTTCAAGCTTAACCGTATCAAGAGGAACACCCCTCCTTTAGCCTGCCTTTGACACCTCTTGGAGTGCTCAATAGAATTTCTGGAACTGTCTTTAATTCTGAAATAGGAACCAAATGCAGCAAAGCCAACAACATCTTGGGCCACCAAATCCCAGCCCCCGACTGCACCCCACCGAAACAGCACTGTGTGTCCACCACACTGTGCCCTTCAAAATAAACCAATTTAATACCGACAGTTACCAAATCTGAGATCTAAAGAAACCTTCCTCGGCTCGGAATCTGCACTCAACAATAAGAGAATGACGGCCAGGTCTGGATGGGCCCTTCTGGGTCCCCAGAGCGTCCCACATGTACTGCCTCTGAAACTTGGGTGCAATTACGTAAGCATCGTGACTCGTCTGCAGTGGTGCTGAGTTGTAGGAGTACCAGGCAGTCCTTTCACAGTTGGTCTTACACACAAGGGTGTCAATTTAAAGCTAGAGGTAGGCAGCTGACAACTCTTCCCGTTGGTCTTAACGAACACAGCCAGTCATCAGAGATGACAGGAACCACAGACCCTCGACATCTGGAGGGCATCCCATTGTGTGCCGCTGGCTTAAAGCAACCAAGATCCCGAGCATTCAACAACAGGGGAGGGACATCAGTTGTTTGAACCTACCCAAAACGTGGCCCTGGCAGGTCAGAGCGGGAAGTCTCCCAGGAGATTTCTGAGGACAGCTCTTAGGAATCTGAAATCAATTTTCAGGCACGTCCCCGAGAAAGCAGCTTTGATCTTGTTCCCCACTTGCACACTTCCTCACTGGGTACGGCTTAAATCTACTCGGCACGGTGCTCGGATGTTCATTCAAACTTGTTCCCCACTTGCACACTTCCTCACTGGCACGGTGCTCGGATGTTCATTCAAATGCCTTTTCAGGAAGCTGTGGCTGAATAAACTGCCACGTACAATGCTCAAGTCACTGAAGTCCTAGAGAGCCTTAAAAGCTGCTAAAATACCTACCTACGTCGTCAGAGCAGCTTCAAAGGTCGGAATGTATACACCGAGAGCAAAGGGGAGGTGCGCACTTAAAGCTGCTGGGTGAAGGGGACACAATGGCGGCAACCCAAGAGTCTATTCTACCATTCGACATCCCCTATGTGGTTCTAGCGTTGGTGGAGACAAAGGACCAAGGGGGTGCTGACTTGAACCGGCACAGTGTTCTTGCTTTAAAAACTACCAGGAGACAAAACAGGCACATGCTTCCCGTTCCCTCTGTACTTTATCTTGCTCAAGACCGCTGTCAAAAGTATAGCATACATTGTTTGCACAATGTTTCTAACACACGCTTGGTACAGCGTGGCGGTCATACACTTTCCAGCAGCACTGCACGCGGCGCGGCTCATGTCATTCTCAGGGAGCAGCCCTCTTGACTTTCAAAGCGTCCTCTTCCTCTGCAGGGCACAGAGGGGGCACAGGGCTGGCTTCCTGCTACACTTCTGCTGCAAATCTAGCCTCCGAACAACAAGCTCATAGCTTTGCTGCGCACAGCGATCTCCCCGCGAGGTTCAGGGAACACGGAAGGCGTCTCTCGGAACCACACGGAGCTACCGCTTTAGTCTGATCTCCTGTCTCTATCGTTTAGAGCCATGTGGCATTCTGAGTCAAGAGCAGAGCTGTCAAACGCTGCCAAAGAGGAGACACAGCACAGGCATCGTCATCATCATCATGCACTCCCATCTGTTCCAGCGGTGGGTCTGCAGGCCTTCAGCTGGAGAAAGAGATCCCCCCGTTCACCTTGCATGACCTCCCGCCATGAGACACAGCCTAGTTCCCAGTTCATCTTCTGCTTCCTACTAGACAGAGAGTTAGGGAGGTCCCTTCCACCAAACGCTGGCTTTGAAACAGACCCGTAGTCACGAACAGCTTTCGGGCCACCTTAAAGGCACACATATTGGCCTTTTCCGCAACCCTCTTGCCTATTCTCAAAGTTAATCTTGACTGTGATTTGACAAACAAGTCGGCTTCGTAAACTATGTATGGCATGCACTTGAACTCTGAGTGCCAGTTTTGACGTAAGTTGAGTCTCAAACAGAAGCTTGAGCTTCCCAAGCCCTCCACTGTCACGTAAAACACGGTGAGATCCTGTGCGGCTAAAGCTGTGGGCAACCTGTACCAAGGAGAAGGGTTCCACAAATAGACTTTTCAGAAAGCATCTGTCCAGGATACAGAACTGCTTGTTTTGTTTCGAATTGTTGACACAGGCCTGCGTAAGACCCACTTGGTGAATTGAGATTAAGTTCTCAAAGCTGCGAAATAAAGCAAACCAACAAAAAGCGGATGAGATCACCTCAAGGTACTCGTATTTGCCCTTTAAAAAAAAAAGGTGGCTGTCAGAACCATGCGCTAAGTGTTCGCACAGTTATCTTACTCTTTGAAAGAGGATGGGTATGAAGGAGGATCTTGAAAAACAAAGAAGGGCCACATAATTAATTGCAAAAGGGATGTGATGAAGCCACAAGTGGAATAAAAATAAATCAAACCCCTGCTGATGGCTACAGAAATATTGATCTTTTTAATGGTAGCAGATGGTCTAATTTACTGTGAGGTCCGCTCTTGCCCTGAAGTCATAATCGCCTGGACAGGGAGAAATTTACTTGTAATTTACCCGAGAAGGACTGGGAAACTGAGTTTTCACCTCATTTTCTGTTTTCCCCTCTACAATTCAGAGGCCTCGAAGAAGAACCTGTGCTCTCGTTTTACTCAGTCAGATGGTTGTGAAGTTTTCAAAAACTCATTTGGCAAACTTTATCTTTTGCTCCAGATACTTGTCAAAACGGGCTGCAATATATCCCTCCCCCCACAAGCCCCTACATATTACATACCTTCTAAGGGTGAAAGACGTACAGTATAATGGTGCCTTTCCAAACTAGATTTCAAATTAGATTGTGCATAATTTTGAAAAAGTAAAATTACGTGGGTCTGAACAATCAAATGTATGCAAACACAAACACACACACGCTTTCCAGCATCAACACCTCTGAAGCCCCTGGGTATTAAATACAGAAAAAGGCTCCTTCTGAGCAAAGGAAAGTGTCCAGTTTCCCCCTCTTGAAGGACAAGGAGGAATATCAATTCCCAAGCCTGCCCAGCCCCCTGGGAAATAAACACAGCAGGAGCGCATGTGCCTCCTTTGGGGCGCGCATGTGTTTCCCAGTTCCTGGGGCTAAGACGCAGTGGGCTATATCTTAGACACTCTTAAGCATTATCTTACTTACAGATGGACTCAGTGGGGAAAATACATAGAAAAGTACGCTTCAGGAAAGGAGGAATCTCACACTCAAAATTTATAACGAAAGTGATTCTGCAAATGGGTTTCGGTGTGGTGCCTCTCGCCGACTCTGACCGTCCAAACTCTGCCAGCTGTACCAAGGAGAGCGGTGCCCTATCAGGCCCTACTGCTGAGCCCAGGGAACCCCCTAAAGCCCCCAATACATTTGAACCCGAAGGATCTAGGCTCCCACAAACAGAAGTGGTGAAGCACCGGGCTGAGTCAATACAGGTGTGCCTCTCCAAATAGTTCAACGAAGCCCGTGCATTACCAACAAAAATGCATGTGAAATTACGTGTATTCATACTGACTCACACTATTCAGCCTGCTCACGATTTTAAGATTGTAATCCTTTGCGAGGAATGTCGGAACATTATTAAACATAAATATAGAACAGCATGCACCTTTGTCCCACACTCCTGTACAGACTTGTAAACCACTGTTCACCTGAGGCAAGTCAAGAAGACTCTGGTGTGGCCAAGCAAGACAGGTGGGGGCAGCCCTGGTCTGCGAGGCCACAGAAAAGGAGGTAAAACAGGCGGCTCAGAGGGGAAGTCTCTGCAGACCTCTTTGGCTGAAGATGCTCCACTCTGGAGGCAGCTTGTGGGACTTGCATCCCTTGGCTTCCTTGAAGACAGGCCAGCGGTCCCTCCCCATGTCCTAACCGGAATAAAGCACCTCTATTCTTAAGCAGAAATGTGGACTGGTCACGTTTAGGCTGTTGCAGGCACTCAACAAGACTCTTGTGGCACATCAGGGCAACAGATTCCGTCAGGAGCCTTTGTGTGACTTGCTGAGGTGGTGACGACAGCAGTCCACGAAGGCTGGTACCCAATTTAAGTACAGTGGTGTCTCGCATCACGATTGCCCTGCATTACGACGAAACTGCATTACGACGATCTTTTTGCAATCGCAATTGCGATTGCAAAACGATGGTCTGAATGGGGTTTTTTTCGCTTTGCGATGATCGGTTCCCTGCTTCAGGAACCGATTCTTTGCAAAACGACGATTTTCGGACAGCTGATCAGCAGTTTCAAAATGGCCGCCAGGTAAATGAAATGGCTCCCCGCTGTTTTCTGGGACAGATTCCTCGCTGCAAACCCACCAAAAATGGCCACCCTATGGAGGATCTTCGCTGGACCGTGAGTTTCCAGCCCATTGGAACTCATTGAAGGGGTTTCAATGCATTTCAATGGGCTTTTTATTTTCGCATTACGACGTTTTCGTTCTACAGCGATTTCACTGGAATGAATTAACATCGTAATGTGCGGCACCACTGTAGGTGAATGCCACTGCCAATTAACAAGAGATCCACATCCTTCCTTGGAGAGAAAGACAGGGAGTGTAACATGCATGGTGAAACATTTACACATGGGGACCCACCTGGCAAGCCTGTCGTCAAGAACGTCGTGGGTCTAAGAAGGCAGAAGTGGGTGGCGCTTGAGGGACCAGCGTACAGCTGAGCAGCACAAGCCCACAACCCCTCAGTTTTCACAAGTGTGTTTGTTACAGAGGCTTTCGGGGGGGGCACCTTGTGGGCCTTGCCTCCTTCGTCAGAGCAGTGGATTTTATTAGTGAGACCAAGTATTACACTCAGCAGCACCGGGGCCCTTTAAGCTCGCTCTATCAGTTTTAAAAACAAGCAAACCCAACCGATTTTGGAAAAAAAAAATCCTTTGGCCTCAAAAAAAGAAAAAAAAGCAGAGGAGTTTGGAAAACGAGTCATCGGAGATGGCAGATCTGGTTGCTGGCAAAAGTCAACTTCACTTGGGGAACGTGTGGGCCTTTTGTTACTTAGGTGAGCAACGGCAGTAATTGCACAGAGACGAGGTAGCTGATAAACGGAAAGGGAGCCAACGGAGAGAGAGAGGGAAACAAACCTGACCCGCCACAGGAGCGGAGCAGCTGATCATCACCTGGTTCTGACGTCAATGCCGGCTCCGCCGCCGCCACCAGCTGCCTCTCCCGGGCTCACTTTCCTTCAAATGACCTCACGGGAACCAGATCTGGGCCGTGCAGCGTCATTCTGCTGTTCAAATTCCTCCCGTGGGCTTAACCCCTCCTGGCCTTTAAAGAGGCTAATGTGGACTTTAAGAAGTAGGTTAAGAGTCCACAAAGGAGCATNCCCCCCCCCCCCGTAATGTAAGCTCAAAGGTGCAGCCACAGCTGACCCTGGCGGGGCCTCGGTGAGGCCAGGATCCGACCATGCAGAATTCAGGCCATGCCAAATGGAAATTCCAAACCAAAGACCGTCACACCTCCCTCGCCCTCCGGCGCAATCTAGCCCGTAGAATTATTTCCTGAGGCAAGTGCTGAGGACAATCATCTTTGCCAAGGGATCAGGGGGTCTTGACAGAAACGATTCCCCAGCCTTTTTCTCCACGGCCCCCTTTCCCCCCCCATGGGCGCCACCCCAGAAGGGTCCGGGAAGTCACTCAGGGACAAAACCTACCATGGGGGTCCGCAGGAGAGAAGCCGACTCAGTCGCTTGTCCAGATTTCCCTTCAAAGTTTTTTTTTTCACCCAATTGACAAGAAATCGGAGAAAAACAGCAGGAAAAGTTGCCACGTAAATGAGTGGTGGAAGGAAGCGGGGCGGAGGTACAGTAATTGACTAGGTGGTAAATTGCCGTCTTTATCTTTTAATTTCCCTGTCACAATCAGTTATTCAGGGCAAGCGCTTGCGGAAATATTAATTGGAAAGCACAAAGTCTTTTCAGGAAAGAGAATAAATGTTTGAAAATGAGACCAGGATTAATTTGGGTAGATCTCTTTAGAGGGGAGCAAGCGAAGATCTCCAGGCAGGTGGAGCAGATGCTGCTGCAAGCTGCCAGCATAACAATTCCTTGAATTTCAAAGGGAATCCCTTCTCCCTCCCGCAAAATCTTAAAAATATACTGTGTATAATTTACTGCACAGTAAACTGCGTCAGCCATTTCCTTAAACCAGTCATTTGTAAAGCAACTTTTCCCGCTGCTTTTCTCAGATTTCTTAGCAATTTGAAAAAAAAAAAAACCACTTTGAGCATCAACTGCAGGAAATGCTATGGTGGGTGGATATTGCCTTAGAAAAGAATTAGGACACCTATGTGAGCGTCAAGCCTTCCAGCGACAACTAGTCATGGCGGCTAAATGGAACCCCCCATGTTCAGGGATAGTGTATAGCAAATATCAGCAGCTAAGGGATGAACGATAGAGGGTTTGTGATCCTTCAGGAATCATTGTCAACAGTCACTGTTGGTAACAGGATGTTGGAAGAGATGCACCTTTGCGTTGATCTCACAGGCACCTACGTTGTTCCAAAACACAGTTGAGAAGACAGGAAGGTACAGAGCAGTGGTGGGCAAAATGCGGCCTGCATGCCCTCCCGAGCGTCACTGGTGCCGAAATAAGCATTAAAATTGCCTACTGCACCCTCAGAGATGCTACTGGCCAAGTTGAAGGTCAACTCTGGTTAGGCAGAAAGTAGTCTGTTCCCAAAACAAAAACAAACACACACACACACAGAAGCAACCTTCCAGTCATTTCCTGATTCAATAAAACCGGCGGGTGTGGGCCATCAGAGTCCGAGGAAGAATAAAAATGACCCTACCAACCCTTGGCGGCTGGCCATGGCAGTACGTAGGAGGGAAGACTGGACTGTCAAGGGGATGCAGGGTCAAATGTTTGCTTGAGCCATTCCCCACCCCCCCCACCCCTTCAGCCTATTCTACCTCCAGCATTACTGTGAGAACATAAGGGTGTGTGTGTGATAAACCAGGTATGCTAGGAGGATGGGCATAATATAAGCAGACTCCTTGTTCATGTAGTGAGCTTTCAGGTCACAGTGACCTCATTGTTCTATTTACCAAGTCCTGATTTCTTTTCAATGGAGGAGAATGTGAAGGAGACGCAGGGCTACGAGCACACGGAATCCCAATGAGCTGGGTTGCACCAAACCCAGACAAGGTGTTTGCCAGGCCAACGGAAAGCGGAAGACGGTAACTAGCCCTGTATCCATGTGTCAAAGACAGACTGATTTCGAATGCTACCCTCGTGGCACTATTTCTTTAAAAGGCAAATGCTGTGAAAAGCTGACCAATTAAGAAACCGAGGCTTCTGCAGAACACGCCAGAGTGGGTTCTTCACCCCTACAGACAAGACCTCCTGCAGTTTTCCCACTTTTCTATCTTTTAACTCCTTGCCCAAAAGATGATTAATTAAAAGGAGATGTGGGAATAGACCCGATTGAGACAGAACTGTGATCTATGCATGAGGAACTGAACACTTCCTCATTCCCAACTTCTGCTTTGTCACGTACGTAAACCTATCAAAACATGGAGTAAACTTACGGAAGGCAACTTAAGAGAATCCGTTAACATTAGACAATTTACTGGCTCTTCTTAATATACTACTGCTCCGTCCATTTCAGAAGCAGATGAACCAAATGCCCAGCACTCTATGCTTTCCCAACAAAACAAAATGTCATTCTGTACCCTTTAAGAATCACAGACTCACAGAGGTGGATGGGACTCCAGGACCATCAAGCCCAACCCCTAATGAATATCGGAAACCCACACCCAAAGCATCCCTGATAGATGGTCACCTAACCGTTTTATACAGGTACTGTCCTTTCAGTGCAGCAACATCAAGGTCTCTTTTCCTCTCTAACTCCCAATATTAAGGTTAGTGCTTCAGAGTCTTATTAGCTATTGAATGTCATCATCATAATTATTTCAGAACTGCGGAGCTGGAAAAGATCAATATCGGAAACCCACACCCAAAGCATCCCTGATAGATGGTCACCTAACCGTTTTATACAGGTACTGTCCTTTCAGTGCAGCAACATCAAGGTCTCTTTTCCTCTCTAACTCCCAATATTAAGGTTAGTGCTTCAGAGTCTTATTAGCTATTGAATGTCATCGTCATAATTATTTCAGAACTGCGGAGCTGGAAGAGATCATATGGATCGGCGAGTCCAGCCCTTGTCAAGGAAGCCCAGTGGGGAATCAAACTCCCAAACTCTGGCTCCGCAGCCAGAAACCTCAACCATGGTAGATCAATGTACTTTTTTCCAGCCGATCACGCAGGATCTACCACCATGCAAAAGGACCAAAGCACAAACATCTGCCAACTGTCAAAAGCTCTTTTAAAGGCACAAGTTGTATTTTAGAGCAGGAGAAAAGTCCTTCACAACACCCATCAAGACAGCCTACAGTGCATTTTTTTCTCTGTGACAGCACATGCATATGGACAATAAGAGTCATATTTCAGATTAATTTTTGATTTCCTGGAAGAGGAACGTCCACAAGTTAACTTTGCAGCAAACTTTTCCCTTGGCGCAGCTGCCCTTCTCTCTCCGCCATTGTCTGCCATGTGAAGTAAATGATAAGCAGTCTTTAACGACTCATCATCTCTGCTCCCTCCCTTCTTGGAGCAGAACACCATCTGGAAAACTTGCCTGGCATTTTTTATTCCAAGAACGCCACAGCTCTATAGAACTCACACCAGCATTCTGCTTAAAAGTGTCCCCCGTTTTTGAAATTCTGGTCCGGCGATCCGAGGATCCTTTGCATTGCACTGAGGCAAAAAGAAAATTATCCCTATTGCAAGGAACATCTGCTGTGTCTAAATTTGTAATTAAAATTAAATCAAGCACGCTAAAATAACCCAGAGGGCTTCCATTTTGAGCTTCTCCTTTAATACGGAAGAATTATTTGATTAAATTTGATTGTAACCTGCACATCTGGCAGTGCTAGCAAGTTGTCATGGGGTTACAAAAAAGGAAGAAAAAAGCCTAGACTGCTGTTTCCTCAAGAAGAGAGAAATACAAGTGGGGCAGCTCTTCACAAGAAATCAGCGCCTGCATTCTGCGTCAGCCACAATGCCTCTCCCACAGTCAACACCCAGTGTTCATACAGGAAGTTGATACAGAGGCCGCAAGGAGAACAGGAGAGCGGACATCTCCTATACCAGCAGAAAAGGAATGGAATTTCGTCTACCTGCTATTTTAATATTCATGTTGTTATCCAGCAGGAGGTTTTCTGCTTTGAGGTCACGATGCACAATCTTCCGACTGTGACAGTATTCAACTGCGGAAAGGATCTGCCAGAATTTGCGCCTGGCCTCCGACTCGCTCAGACGGCCGTGGTTGGCAAGGTAATCTGTGGAAAGAAGGAGGGGGTTCAAAGGGTCAATCACACACAAAGTCTTGAGATTTCTTTCTCCAATCACACCTTCCCAGGTCGACAGGACGGGCAGCATGCGGCCCTCTTTTCCAAATTAACTGGAAAATCATGCGGCGGTAGTGGCCATCTGTACGAGGTGACACACTTTTCGGCCGAGGTTTGATTTAACTGCTAGGAGGTAGTCCTTCCCCTCTCGACCCTCCTCTTCTAGACCCCGGGCGTTTTGCCCTCCATGCATGGGACATTCTGTACCAAGTGCTTTTTTATGACATCAACCCAAGGGGTTCAGTTTGCTGGGCGGCCCCCTTGTCATTCCTGTGGACAGCACTAAGGTGGTGGGGTAGACTAATGAGCACTTTCCTGCTCTTTAAAAAGAAAAAGAAAAGGAGAAACAAAAATGTGCAGTGTCATAGGTAGCCGGAAAAATAAACAGAAGACAACCGTCTCTCTCCATTTCCATACTCTGAAAGAAGGGACCTTTGTTCTCATCCCGGCAGTGGTACATACTTCTTGGTGCCTCCAGGTGATCTCACCCCACTCTACCCCCTCATTTACACACAGCCGTGGGAGGAAGGCACAAAAATGCAAGTAAAAAGCAAACAGAGACATATGTTGTAGGCAACACTCCCACTGGCACACGGAAAGAACCCACTGATTTACAAAATGGCTAGGCGACCAATCCAAGGCAATACACAGTAGGAGGTACAGTATGGGGCAAAAATTGGCCTCCCCCCCCCTCTTTTGCACAAGCCATCATCCTTAGTAACTCGAGGACTGAACTCTGGCAGAAATTGCTCACCCTCCACATCAGCAAGGAAAAGACTGCTGTACTTCGCTGCCCTTGCACACAAGGACATCACAGACGACAATCTTCCAAACTGCTCTTATGTTTGAATTTGCCAGTCAAGCAATCGCAGCCTTAATAATTACGTGATGAAGACAGAAGCACGGTAAGACGCTAGAGATGATGGTTAAAGATCGTAATCCCTACGTTGCTAAAGGGAAAAGTTAGCAGCAGAGAAAAGCAACATTTTACATCTTGGGAGAGGCATAATTGAAGCTTAATACACTGAGAGAAGGAACAAACATGTTCCTCTGGCAATATTTCACACACACACATACAGAGAATTGTCAAAAGGACAAATCTAATTTACAGTGTCAGTTAAGCTGTTTGTTTATGGTACAGAATGTAATGAAGGGAACTTAGCTGGCAAAAACCCACAATGAATCAAGGCTGAAATCCGCCACAGCCCACTTGCTAAAGATAAGCTGGACTGAATGAAGCTTTAAGTGCCTCCACCTCAAAGTAGCTGACCTATGAATTAGGATGCAAGAGGTAGAATGGTCCTCAATGTCAGCATCACGTGGAAAGGACAGATCTATACGGAGCCTGTGATGTTAGCAGTGGAAGGGAAAGTGGAATTTTGAACTTTCAGCTCAAATCCCCAGTGCATATTGCTGAGAGGGAGGCATTTAGATTCCTAGTAAGTATATATTCAGCGCTGGGAAAGATTGTGACAACATGGAACTGGAATCTCAGTTGTTTCCTAGAAAAATCTGATGGGGGCTTTCCAGCATGTTACACTGTCAGCACCCCTGCCAGTTTCAGACCAGAATTAAGGCTATCTCAAGTTGGCTCACAGGGCACAAAGCCAGCCGAATGGAAGCTGATGCCTTGGCAAACACGACCCGAGATCAGGAACGATGCCACACAAGGTCACAAATTGTGCTCGCTTACAGCTTACCTTCCATTCAACCTCACTCTGAGCTGGTCATATAGTGCATGTCCAGTTATATCTATGTTTTCAAAAAACACTTTTTAAGGTCTTCTACTGCCTAGTCAGCTCCCCTCAACACATGGGGTGACATGATATAAAAGGACTGTACTTTGAACAGGGAAAGAAAAGCCGCTTCACACCAGTTTTAAAGGGGTCATAGTCCAAAATTCAACACAGGAGAGACAACAGAAGAGGGAAAGGATAACGGAGATGAGTATAAACAAAGGAAGAGGGAGGTTTTGCTCAGTTACAGGCATTTTGACTTAGATCAACTCAACTCAGGAAAGGCTTCTCAAGAAAGATTTGTCCTTTCACTCAAGCCACTTCTAAATCTCTTTCCTTCACAAAAGTGTCATTTTATTGAACTTAATGAAGCAGTTACATAAGCTGAAATATGTGATGGCTTTTGCCAAGAACACACAGACAAAACACAAGCTCCCCACCTGGATGGGCCTACTATATGTAAGAATGGTTTGTCCCCACAGCCTGTAAGAATGGGGTGCAGGAGGGACCCCCCTCCCCAAGGTCTCAGATTTCGGTGACAGTTTCCAATGTTCTTTGGCACTTCACCAATAAAGTAAAAACCCAACAAACTCAATGAAAAGTCTTGATACAAGACAGCCCAGAAGCTGACTTTGAAGACTACTGTTGTTGTTGTTCTAAAAAAACTTTCTGCTAGATGACTATGCCGTCCTGTACTTTCCATTATTTTATTCTTTGTCCTGACTTCTGTTTCTGTCAAACAACTCCTGGGATTTTTATTGTAGGCAAACTATGTTTACCTACACCTATTAAGTGGGGTGGGGATGGGGGGGGGGAGAACATGCAGGCTTTCAAGTTCACAACCTGCACAGAGTTACTAGTAAAAACCTGCAATTTTGGTTCCTTTTCTGTTTAATCCCTCAACCATCAACAGATGTAGGTTTCTAAAAACAAAACTCATAACAATTCTGTTTGCTGCATTTTAGTCTAAGTCCACGTAAAATGAGTGAAATCACAGTGGAGAAAAGAAAAACGAAGCTAAGAGGAAAGAGGAAAGAAGGAGCAGGGAGAGCAGGAAAAAATTACACCCACGCAGCAACCCCCTGTAGTTGACAGAGAAGGTGAATCAAAGTTGATTTATCTGTCTATCACTGCTGCCCATGTGATATTCACAGAACCTGGTCGCTCCCTTTGCCTTACTTGCAGGGACTGTCAGGAGAGAGTGAATTATTGAGCTGACACCATCAGAACCATCCAGAAAGGTGTCCTTCGCTCGTGCCAGCAACTACAAAACAGCCTCCTTTGCATGGCAATTGCAGGATGATGTGGGGATGTTAACGGTGGCTTCAGATCAGCATTAATTGAATTTTATATGCATGTCTAGGAAAGTATATTTTGAATTTAAGGCTTTAAAAAAACCACTGGTAATTTCAAATTGCTTTGGGGGTAATTTAGCAGCTGCACACTTCTGAAATGAACATGTTTTTCTTTTAAAGTAACTAACCAGGCCAAGCCATTTTAGGTTGGCCATTTCTCTTTTTCTGTAAACAAACTATTGATGTATAAAACAGCCCCCCCCCTTCAAGCAAGCCGCTTATACAGAGGCAGGACAGTCTTCCAGAACAAACTTCAGCTGAATTCACACGAATAGGTCAAGCCATTTGCTTTTTAATGTAAACAAAAGGAGATGATGTAATGGTGGCTGGAAGGCTGGCTTCTGTTTGTAATAATCTCATCCAGAAATCTGATTAATGGTTTTACTTACGGATTTTAGTCAAACTGGTTATGCAATTGCGATGGGCCAAACGGGGCTGGCCTAGAAAATTTAATTTCTCAAGAGCGACAGGTTTGGGAATCCTCTAACTAAGCCGGCCAATTCTTGGTGGATCCGTTCATTGACATTCTGTCAGAAAAGCGTTGCTCCCTGCACCCGTCCCCTGAGCCTTTCTTCTGCTTGTGTCGGCCCCCCTCCTTTTATTCTCCTGATAATTTGCAAAGACAGCCCACCCACCCCAGTGCTACGCACTACCTTTATATCAAGAAATGCAAAAACCAAGAAACCAGTGGTCAGGCTACCTCTTCTGCAAAAGGGGTATTCGAGTGCTGCAATCTAGATTTCCCATCGCCCCCCACCCCCGGTCAGACGTCTACCTCACCGAGATGAACAGCCGTCCACAAATTCTGCTTTCCTTATCCTCAGAAACAAAGCCACCGGCTGGCCTACATTCCCAGCAGCAAAAACGCAAGCACAGGCAAAAGAGAAAGGAAGCCCCACCAGTCCTTTTTCCCCCAAAGGGAGAGACACGGCGCAGCTACTGAACATCAGCTCCAAAACTTTCAGCACTGCACCCCAGTTTTGCCTCTCCCTTATCCCCACAAATCCCCTTCTAACAAAAGGGGCCATAGGCAGATCTAGATTGTTGTGTGTGTGTGTGAGAGAGAGAGAGAGGGAGGCTGCCCTTAGGAACATTGTGAGAGAGAGAGAGAGAGAAAGAGGGAGGCTGCCCTTAGGAACACCTGGGGGTTTCCACAGATGTAAAATGCAGGGACCAGAGCAGCAGCTGAAGACAGTCCCCCCCCAGTACAACATTCCAATTATTATTTTTTACCTGTACTTGCTCCTGGTACATTTCCAGCCCCCCATTCACAGCACTGATCATGTTATTATTTACAAAGCTTGCAATGGATCGAGGCCAGGATATTTGGAAGGACAGTCTTGTCCAGCTCATCTATTGCATTCATGACTACTGATGGACTGAATGGCTAGAGACAATGCCTGTTCTGTAGAATCCTCAGAAGTTTATTGGGATATTGACATTTAGATGGATCTCTTCATTTTACTGGTTTTGTTTCATGTCTCGGCTCTATCTTGAGAAGGATATTGACATTTAGATGGATCTCTTCATTTCACTGGTTTTGTTTCATGTCTCGGCTCTATCTTGAGAAGCTCTCTTTCTGCTCTTGTTCAGCCTCAACCTATATCTTTAATATTCTAAACTAGTGGTTCCCAACCTTGAGTAATCCAGGAGTTCATGAAACTGCAACTTCCGGAAATTCTGGCCAGCACAACTCATGGCGAAGGCTCTTCTGGGAGTTGAAGCCCAAGAACACCTGGTTTACCCACGGTTGGGAACCCCTGTTGTAGATTACTATTTCGGTGAAAGGAAATAATACTGAAAGAAAGCTAGCCATTTAATGCACAAAGCCACATTTCCA